TCCATGTTTCCACTTACCAGGGCAACCCATTTTGGACTTCTTCTTTTTTTTGAGCCACAGCCATATCCGTGTGTAGCTCCTGAGCCACTTCCCTTCCGCGGCTTGTAGGTGCCGACTGGCCAAAGTGCCGACTCAGGCCTGGTCACTGAGCGGCGTGAGCGGAAATATGGAACCTTTGGTGCAACCTTTGGTTTGCATTTTGCTGCGAGGGATGTTCGGACTTGGACTTTTTGATCCAACTAATGGGTTTTCCGTATTAAGCCACTAAGAGTTAGTCACTTTTAGCAGGGGAGCAGAAAGCAACCGAGAAACGGGAAACAGGGGGGCCTTGATGGATGACTGGGGGCTGGACATCTACCACAACCTGTCGGTGGAAACACATTCCAATGAACTGAATGGACCAGTTTCGCGGGGCAGCCCTTCGGTGTCGGAGCTGGGTCCAAATATCTCCTTTCCAGCCAACTTCGATTGAGTTCTCAGTGGGGCGAAGGGTTCCAGGGCATCTACCCTTGCAAGGTGATGTAACTATGGAGGGAGGGGGGTGATGAACTAGATTGCAGTTGATACGGGCTAGCGCTTTTTTTTTCTTCTTTTTTTTTTTCTTTTTCTTCTTCTTCTTCTTTTCTGAGAATTGGGGAGTGGCCTTCATTTTCTATGACACATACAGCTTTCCGTGAACAGATTCATTGGGTGTGGGGCGATGTTGTTCTTGTATTTCAGGGGAACTATTGGAACCGCGCACCCCTCCCCTGAAAAATGGGGTACATGTATATATATATATATATATAATGTGACTTCATCACCAGAGGATTCACTCACCAAATGCTTGGAGATGGCGAGGGAGAGAGGGCGAGAGAGAGAGAGAGAGAAAGAGAGAGAGAAAGAGAGAGAGAAAGAGAGAGAGAAAGAGAGAGAGAGAGGGAGCGGGAGAGAAAACGAAAGTAAGACGTCTCCTTGGACGGGACGAGGGCATTTTGATGACTTGCCTACATGGGCAGTCTTGCTAGGCAATGCCCCGCCTTGGCCTGGGGGCTCGGAGTTCGCGAACCGTTCGCGGCCCTCTGAATGTCACCAAAAACTGGGTACCTCCAAAACGGATGGGGAGGTGGAGTTTGGGCTGCACTTTTTTCAGCTGATCGACCGCATTTTTGGTTTCGCAAAGCCAACACGAAGCACTTTCACCGCCAGAATGGAAACATCGGAAAAGATAGTTACTTCCAAAGTTTCCGGACGGAGTACTAGTTTAGTGGTAGACAAACAGTGTAAGCTTCTTTTGGCCCTCAGAAAGTGAAAGCTGAAAGATGTGCCCTTAACGGTTTTGCCGTCCAAGTTTGCCAGGAGGAGCATCGTCGTCTAACGGCTGGGATCCCTTCTGCGTTTGTTGGCTGGAGGGTACCCGAACAACGAGTTGTGGGCGAGTTTTGGTGGCTTGGGGCTAGACCAAACCTCATGCAACTACATCCCTAGAGCAGCCCTAAAGGCACCACTTAGCCCGCAACGCACCCAACACAAATCAGCTCCAAGCCTACCCCAAATCCACCCAAAGTCAACCCTAACCAACCAACAGCAGCCTGGATGTCAGCCCTTCGCTTCGCCCAAATCAACCCCAAACCACCCCAGACCCACCCTCATGAAGGTCTAAGCCAGCCTAACCCCCCCCTCAACTTAAACCAATCCTCAGCAACTCCCAAGTTGGATCCTCAGGGAGCGTACACCACCCCCAACCCAACCACTTCAGCTGGAAATACAGGAGAAATCGTCTTGGACAGATGAGCTATATATGCGCTTTGATGACGGAAGCCATCTTGACTGCCAAGAGGGTCCTGTGCGGCTGCAATTCCCCCCGAAAGCCACAACACTCACTTGTAGGGGGCCTCTATTGCCCAAAGGATCACCTACTGTTTTTTTTGGGCAAAAAAACACATCTCATACCCCAAATACAAGAAGCTTTCTGCTGCAAAAGTGATCCAGATCCCTTTGTTGATTTGGATCCTGCTCAAGAGCAACCAGGGTTTTGCCAGCTTATCAATTCTACGTTCCGATTCCGGCATGGAAGCTCTCTGAGGAGATTCCTCAGTTGGTTTTGTTTGCTTTCATGTCAACTTGGAGAGGGATTCATTTGAATTTCAACGGGACCCACTTAAAAATGGCGGACAACAATACCTGTGCAAGGGCCCAAAAAATCAAGGTGTGCACCAGCGCTTCCTTTTGCGGATTCAATTCCATCAGCTTTCGGTGGTTTCCGTTTGGAAGCCAATCAGGACAATACCCTTTCTGCCAAAGGGGATGATGACAACAACATGTGCAACCATAGGTGCACATCTCCGCCCTTGTGATTGCAAACCATGGTGTTTGGGAAGACGTCTCGTGTGCTTCACAGCCACATCAAAATCAACTCCTGTTCTTTCGAAGCCTAACACACGTGATTCCACGTCTCCGTTTCGTGTGACGGATGCCATGCCATTCCAAGGGCTGTTGGCGCTGGCGCTACACGCGCTGCACGCGTCCGTTTGGGGAGCCAAGTGGGCCGGAGCGGGGCGGACGTGGCAGGGGGGGTTGGTGCGGGGAAGACGCACCTTCCAGGAGTTCCTATTTTTCGGTGTTTTGGTTTCAAGTAGCTTTTTGGGTCCCTGTAAGTTGAGTTTGCATTGGTAGGGGTGATGTTTTAGGTGTTTAACAAGCCGACTCTCTTTGCGAGAAACAACAAAGGAGGCTTCTTTTGCAGGACAACCTATGTTGTAGCACAGGTGGCAATTTCAATCATGAAGCCTTTTCTCCCGGACCGAAAGTCAACACGATATATACCCACAGCTTTCCTTTGGCTACAGTTGACCCTGAATACCCTGCAAACTTGCAGGGGCATCAGTCAACATCGCCTGGGCAAACCAGCCCTCAAGAAGCCAGACCCCCGTGTCAAGCCCTTTGCTTTTCTTTCGCATGCCCCAAATGGCTCAATACGGCGGCTTGCCCCGGCCGCCGGCTTGGGTTGGGGTTTGATGACTGATGTCCTCCGTTGCCTTTGTCCATTTGTGGCCTTGGTCAGCGATCCGAGCTCCGAGGCTCTCCGATGGGCAAAAGCGGGTGGTTGGCTCGCGCAACTTTCAATTTGTTGAGGGGAGTGGCACCCTATGAACCCAAGAGATGGTTTCCTGCAAAGCTTAAGGAAATCCCCGATTCCTTCTCCAACCCCCTCAAACGATTCCAACTTGAGAATACGAGAATATGTAGGAAGTGCAGATCAGATCCCTCCATCCATCTCATTGGGACCCTATGATTCAGCCCCCCCCCCCAATTTGGGTTTTAATCGTGGAGGCCTTATTTGGCCTCATGGCTTATAAACTCCTACCCCTTGTAGGGCTGGAGGGTCGCTAAGGATTCGGTGGCGCGGCCATCCGCCAGTCTGATAAGCTGTAGACGTTGATATGTTTGGAGCGAATCAAAACGGGCTTTTGGCTTTACAGTCCTTGGGTCATGGGCTTGTTTGCAGTCTTTCTCTACTAGACATGCAAGGTTTGGTCTTCCAAAAGGTTTCAAGTGTACCAAACCAATTGGAGGGTAAGAGGGGGGGTTGCCCCTTTAAGCCACTGTTGTGTGGTTGGTTTGCTTGCAATCCTTGGCTGCGCTCCGCAAGTTGTTTCCTTTCGCCACCCTTGAGGTAGGTTAACCATGACCTGCCAATGTTGAATCAGTTCCCTTTGGTAGGGCAATGCTTAAAGAGGGGTTCGCACCCAAATGGGGGGACCCCCCGAACCGGGCAATGCTTTTGGTTTCCTCCTTCGTCTTCAACAGGCCCTTGGCACGAGTACCCTTGAAAAACCCACGCGCGTAAGCAAGGTTGGTTGAAAAGCCACGCATTCCGAGTCCCAAACCGGTTTTGTGGGTTGTTTCCCTTGAAGCCATTCAGAACACGCCGACCCAGCGACCCCCCTTTCCCCCAAAAGAACCTCAAAACGCGTCACGTCAACGCAGCCAAGGGAAGCTCAATGGAGCTGAGTGCTCGGCGACTCAGGCCACTGATGCAGTGGAGCTAAACCTGTCACAGGTGATGTACACCAACCTAGGCGGGTGGAACTAAGCCTGTCGGATGGTGCGTGAGTTACTTTATCCATGTGAGGCTTGTTGTTTGACCGTGGCTCCCATGTCAGTTTCAAAGAGTTGAAGCCACCTGGGAAGAGAGCAGATTTCCATACCAGATTTCCAAAGGAGATCTACTGACCCTTCAGCCTTAGTTTAGGGTCAGTTGCCGATATTCACGCTCTTTTACCCTTCACTTCTCGTTCTTCGGGCTCTTCGCCCAGTATGTCTATATGTGCTGATATGTGTTGGATGGGCGCATTGGTCCCTCTGAAAATTTGTATCACACATGTCTACCCTCCCATTTTTTTTTAAACAACAACACACACACACATGTGTACCTACACACATATGCAGATAGCACATAGGCGTGTTATATATATATATATATATACACATATATATATATATACATGTATATACACATACATGTCGAAGTGTGGCCAGCCTTGCATGGACTTTTGGCTATGAACAAGTGTACGTAAAGGGTCATTCCCTCATTCCTGGCTGAGCACCAAGTTGGCTGCTGTTCATGAATTGTTTTAGCGGGAGATTGTGTACAGTTCTGCACCAAGTCTTCATGCCGGTGCCTATGTTTTCTGGTTGCCAACTTGCATTGCTGGGTAGAACAACTCGTGTTGGGGAGGGGTATGAGCAATAGTAGGCCTTTTGGGTGTTACCCAAGACTTATGTAAATATGTAAATAGGGCATGTACAAACACTCCTCAGAGGCAGAACTCAAGTGGTACTGTCCGAACAGTCTTTCCCCCGGAATATAAGTCTCCTTTGGGTGGGTCACTTGCCCTTTCACAACGCAAACAAAAAACGCAGAGGCTTGCCGGTGCCGATCCAGCCGGCTCAAGCGGCAGAGCTTTAATCGAAGGCTCCGGACGGCAAACTCAAAGGCGGACTCTTGAACTCGCGCCATGGGCGGGGAAGGTGGCTTCAAAGGCGGCTTCGGAGACAAGGGCAAAGGCAAGGGCAAGGGGAAGAAGGGCAAGGGCAACTTGGTTGCTTAGGGCCGACGCGAGGCGATCCGCTGTGTAAGGGGTAGTAGCCCTGCTTATAGCTCGTTTACCGCAGGGTTACGAAACCACGCATCAAGTAGCCGATAGCCTCCTTAAGTGGCCTTTCGACTTTTTGAAAGCTGACAAGCATGTTTTCTGGAGATAGATCCCAATTGGCTTGGTTTGCTTAGACCCAAACCGCCGTTTGATATTTTCTGGAAAATGACACTTGCCAACCACTGGCAAGCAGAAAGCCTTGCTTCTTGGGAGTTTTTTGTGACCAGCCCAGGCAAGGGCAAGGGCAAGGGCAAGCAGGAGGAGCCGAATCACCAAAGTGGTGTGTGAGTTTTCCGCGGCAGCTGTTTCGGGCCTGCTATTTTTATCACCTGGAGTTTCTTTGCCACCTTGATCTTTGTTTCCCAAACAGGGTGTCTACACTAAGGGCTTCTTATGGTAAAAATAAAACAGAGTGCCCAATCAGGGTGCGTGCTCTGGGCCGGTCGTTGAACATTTGCGCAGGCTGGAACAGAATTTCGTGAGATGTTCATGTGCATGTCGAATGCACAGGCTTGCACAAAGTGCGCGGCCGACTCTGGTGTCTTTCCAGGGTGCGCTCCTGGATTGGCGGTCTTGGACAGGGAACTCTTGTAGATGGAGGGTCCTCTCAGATGGATCTTTCCAAGAATTCCAATCTAGAGATCCTGCGCGCAGATTTTGCCAAGAGATGTGGTAAGACTCCTCCCCAAGATACTTATCTGCCGTCTTGCGCTGGCTCTTCATAGGGATCCTGTCAAGCGGTTGCGCAGGACCTGCAAAGATTTTCCTTCCAAGTGATCTTGTAGAGGATGCTCCCTCGAGATCCTCTCATAAGAGATCCTACCCAGAGGTCTTGTGTAGAGATCGTTGGAAGATATCTTGCGCTGGCTCCCAACAGATCTTGCGCAGGACCTGCAAAGACTTCATGTCCAGCAATCTTGTAAAGGATGCTCTCTACAGATCCTGAAGAGAGATGAAGGGGTGACTTGCAGAGGGTTCACTGGAGATCCTGAGCACAGCTCCTGCCAAGAGATCCTTTCAAGAGATCTTACCCACAGATTCCGACAAAGATTCTTTCACAGAGATCTTTTCCAGGACTTTCTACAGAAACATCAGCGTAGTGTCTCTGAGAGAATCTTGAGCGGAACCTCTTTCCACGTATAGGAGCTTGCAAGCGATCTCTGTTTGGGGAGCATGTGTGGACACCCTGTGTGGTCATTTCAGGAAGTACGGTTTGGGGTCACTTGCCGGGCCAACCTTACTCAACCTTGCCAGTGTGTTCTCACTGTGGAATCTCCTTTTGGCCCCAGGGAAGCTTCAGGAACATTGGGGGGGGGACTTGCCTCAGGCCACGGATCCCACACCCAGAACAACGCAAGAACCACTCTAAACCAGACTGAAGGCAATCCTACACAGCCCCAAACCAACCCTAGACCAACCCTATTTCTCACCAAGCCAACTGAAACAATCTCAAGCCAACCCAACACCAGGGCTAAACCCACCCTAAGCCCACCCTAACCCAACCCGAAGAACCAATCCTGCTTAAATCACCTTGCCGACCCTATCCCTAAGCCAGCCGTAAACTCATCTTAAACTAAAGCCACTCTAAAATGGAAATAGCAAATCCTTGACCTTAAGCCAACCCCATTCCAACCCTTCACCCGCCCGAAGCCAACCCAACCAATCTCGACTAACCATAACAGGCTCCTAAACCAGGCCTACACCCACACGAAACGCAACCGCCCCTAAACACACCCAAAACCCACCACGGACCTACCCTAAACCCACCAGCCGCTGTTGAGCAGGTTAGAAGGGGCTGCAAGGATTACACGGAGAGAGAACAAATCTGCAAGGTGAGACAAAAGGGTTGCAAGGTGAGACAAAACGGGTGTGAGGTTAAAAAGAAAGGTCATGGTGAAGAACCAAAGGCTGCAAGGTGAAAAGAACAGGTTACCCAAACACTTGCGGGGCAACCTCAATGAAGCAATCTGGAAACAGGTGCATTGTTGCAAAGCTGCTTGAAAAGGTGGAATCCTATCGCACAAGAGGTGGCATGTTTGTTGTTGAGTCGGCAGACTTTGTACTTTGCATCAGGTTGGGCTTGTTGGATTAGGGTCCGAAGCAAAGGGTCCCTTGAGGAGAAGCAATGGGTGCCCATGACCAAGCTGGGGCGCCTGGTGAATGATGGCAAGATCACCAGCTTGGAGGACCGTGCATGACCTTGCTTGGGCTTAACTGCGGTGCGTTTCGTAGGATTCCAGCCCTCTTAAGCCCCCGGAACCACCTGGTAAGGAACGGGTTTTGGGGGAATCCAACAACGAGACAAGAGCCTGGCGGGGCGGGAATCGCCACTCGCTTGCAAACAATGGACCCCCCAGAACAGGGGCGAGATGGCTCTCAGGCAGCGTGATAGTTTCATTTGCTTGCCACTACGTCCCAGGGAGTTTGATGGGACAACCGCTATGCAGTCACTGTACAAAGGTTATACACCCTGCTTTCCCTGGTGGTAGTGGTTTGCGGGAAGTGAACGCCATCTTGGAATATGCTGCTTTCATTTTCATCGGCGAGTTTTTTCGGCTTCGTTTGTCCATTGGCCCCTTTGATCAAAGAGTAGGTGTTTTGACAACGAGGTGAACTGTGGCTGGTTGTTTGCACTTCCCAGCGCAGCGATTGTCGGAAGGCAAAAAGATGAGGTCGATATGTTCGCCAAGGACAAGTCACCTCCCGCCCTTCAGCGGCTGTCTTCCAAAGCATCGGCCATCCTGACTCAGAGGTCGTCATCTCAAGGGTGGGGGTTCTTGGAATTGCCTGAAGGTGCCAAAGCTTGGTGGATCCGAGCCATAGCCTCAGACTTGTCAAAGTTAAAAGGTAGACAAATCCCAGCAAAAGTTTGGATTTCAGGAAGGGATCAATGACCCACTCGGCTGGTCAGCCAAACAGGTGCATTTGGAAACCGCTTGACAGCCCGACCAGCCCAGCCAGGACATCTACCTCCACTCTTTGCCGATCAAAGAGCCAGAGATCATCGACCACTTCTACCCTCCTGGGTCCTTGAAGGACAGGTACACGGGACATTACAGGGGAAATCTTTGCAGGCTTGTGAACAAGCGGTTTTTGTGAGCCTTTCCTTTTTTAGTCAGCTTTGTGTTGCCCCTAGCATAAGGGGTTACACAATCACACGTTCTTGATTTATGGTCGTGGCTTTTGGGTTTAAACTCCGTCACCATTCCAACTGATCTTAACGTAGGATTAATCCGCAGAACAGTGGTTTCAGCTTTTGTTTCGGGAGATTCCTCAGATTACTATGCTCCTTCCGATTCATCCAAGGTTAACGCAACCCCATTCTAGTTAATCAGTCAATCTCAGCCTAGATTCAGTAACCTCCTGCTTGATTCTTCGGGCGTCCCATTTAATTTGCTGGTTCTCAGTGGGGATGATTCATTTCCGGGTGGTCCCCTTCTCTGAGAAGCAAGTTAAAGAGGGGTAGCTTGGAGCGTCCTATTTCAGGCCCTTGCCTAGGACGAGGTGCTGAAGATCCACCCGGTGCAGAAGATGACCTCGGCGGGCCAGACCAACCGCTTCGTGTGCTACGTGCTGGTGGGGGATACCAACGGCCACATCGGGCTGGGGTCCAAGTGCGCCAAGGACACGGGGAGAGGATGGGATTTTTCCGTATCTTTTCGAGGCGTTGGGCCCAAAGCCCTATTTCCTACGCAGCAAAAAGCACGGACTGTTCGGCTCGAAACCTGCCCGGATACCTTTTAGGAGGCTTCGAGGTTGGGGGACGGGGCGGGTTGGTGGACTCCCTCTTATCTTGAGGAAGCTCCATTTTCCGTGTGGCCATCCTTTGGGGTTGGAAGACAAAACTCTGCCCCACTTCCACCACTTCCAGTGACCCATCAAGTGAAGTTTTTGGCAAGTGGTGGTACACTAAGGTGAAAGTAGATGAGAGAATTCCATCCCATGGCTTCGTCATGCCCGTTGCTTACGCACATGAAGGTACAATTCTGCCATCTATTTTCCAATCTAAACAACAAAGTCTGGCGGAAACCGCCAAAAATCGGCATCCATGGCGTGTTGTTAACATCCCCCCCTTCTCCCCCGATACAGTCTGTTCAAAGACCACCAAAAACAAGACAAGGCTTGAAACCAAAAAACCAGACCAATCCAAGCCAACTTTCCGGGCGAGAGGGGAGTCTGTTCAAAATGAAAAGCAGTGTTGTCTTGGATGGCCCACTGTAGTTATCACAGAAAGGTTTAAGTGATTGCAGGTATTTCATTTGTTTTGTAGTTGTATTTTTTTGCTCTACTTCCCCCCTAGGGACCTGTGTTTGGGTCAGTCTCATAGCAAATACTCCACACCGTTATAACATTAATTTAAGCTCAACTTTGGAGACACATCAAATTCAAAACAGCTAGTTGAATTCAGTTTTACAAGAACGTGCCTCCCTTCTAAATAAAGGATTCCATGTCCAAATATAATGCTACTTAAATCTGTATCCTTTTGTTCAAAAGCAGTTTTAGAAAGACATTCCTGCTTGCATCCACTTCAAGTCTGATATTGTTCCATTTTCCAAGTCGGTTTATGTTTCATTAGCGTCTATTGAACAACTGTGGAAGGACATTCCAATGTCAGATGCTGTGTCCAATTCAAACTAAATGTTCAATTTTGACCGATTCTATTCTTGTACATGAGGAATACGTCTAGTTCGGAGACAACGACTAGTGATCATGCGTGATCATGCTAGATGAGGTTGAAATTCAATTCAACTTCAAAAGGGCCTATGTCCCTTATCAAATTCCATTTGAACTTTGTTTGCGCACGAACTTAGCCAAGCCGACAGCTTGGCAAACCCATAGCTGTCAGGGGATTCTGGATCCCGGCTACCTCAAAAACTTTGCTGCAGTTTTTTGATCCAAGATGCATGATTGCGCTGGATAACTTTTTAGGACACCTTGGATCCGGGCCACCCCCAAAACTTTAAAGTTTTTTGGACATCGACTTTAACGTGTTCCGGGGGGTGGGGGCGGGGTACAAGATGGCCTGAACAGTTTTCTGTGCAATCTTGGAGATCTTGGACCTCAAAGTTATTTGTGCACATTGAGGTGTTTCTTATCAGATCTAGGAAGTGCCCAGTTTGACCCTCATTTTTGCCCACAGCAAACGCTGCATTTGACAGTATCTTTTGCCCAAGTGCAGGTGTACGGGGGGTGGGGGTAGGGGGTACCTATTGCATGTGTACATGCAACAAAAGCAACATGTATCATATATCTATATATGTATGTATGTACTGTTTTGTGTGTGTATGTAAGTCCCATACATTTACATTACATACGCACATATATATATATAGATATAGATATAGATACACAAACACATGAATAGCTTGATACTGGATCCCTCTCCCGGCCTTCAAACCGCGGCCTCGAGAGGAAGTGGCCACCGCCATCCGTGGCGGCATCATCGCGGCCAAGCTCAACCTCATCCCGGCGCTTCGGGGGGGTCGTCGGGGTCCGCGGAGTTGGGGGATCTGATGGGATGGCAGGGTCCGATTTGGCATATGAACGGAGATCGGAGACCAGTGATTGTGAGTGAGTTATACAGGGACCATCCGTACATACCAAACAAGAGACCCCTACGTGAGGCTTATAGGCGGGGCATGTGGGGCATGTCCATTTGGGTATGCACGGGCCTTGATGATTTGGCATCCTGGATCCGATGTGGAAGGGGGGGTGTGACACGCCGGGGCAAAGCGTACCTCTGCTTTGTTGTAGGTTCCCTGTGATTTGCCCTGACTTTCCTGGGAGGTAGCTTTGACCTCTTTTGGTTGCCAGATGTCAAGGGAGTTCCCCTGAAAGTTGGTTTCAGGGAAAAACTGGGCTCAATCCTTCATCCCATTGGAATATGACAGGTTCATTTTGAACTACCCAGTTTGTTTCGTTTGTGCTCCCCATTCTTTTCACCCATCGTTCTTTTGAGACACCACACCGATTTTCCTGGGTTCACTTTTCTGGAAAGAATTGTGCAGCTCAGCTAGAAGTATTTTTGTCAAGCCAAAAGCACGCCTCCAGCTTTAGTCTTATTTGGTCTATCTTCGTCTTCCCCAAGCGAGTGTGTTTGGGGCTGCCCCGAAGGGGTGCCACTCACCGCAGGTGCGCCGCGGATTCTGGGGCAACCGGATCGGGTTGCCCCATACAGTGCCTATGACGCTTGGCACGGACATGACTTGGAGTGAAGATGGGCGTGTCTCTTGAGGGACCCTCCTAAAAGAGCTCGGGTCCAAACATCAGTAGTCCTTGCTCTGAGCATGCCTGAGGGGATGGTTTTTCTGTCTGCAATGGACATGGTGAGAAGTTGCGGCTGATTTATACACCCTCGGCAATTGGCCTAAAGGAGCCAGCGGCGTTCTCCGCAAAAACAGACCAACTGTGGCCCGCAACTTCCGATGCCCATCCTCGGCTCTTTTTCCTAGTGTTGACACATGGGGGTGTGCCAAGAGGACCCCCAAAATTGTGTCGTCCCCTTGGTTTCCCTTCAAACCAACCCCAAAAAGGGGGGACCTTCAAGGAAATAGACCCACACCCAAAGAGTGATATGTTGAAATAGGCAGTTTGGGCTTCATGATCTACCCACCATTTTCCTTTGAAAGGGACTGTCAGGTTCCAATGTCAATTGGTGGGAGGGTATTCAAATTTTCCATGTTCGAAGTCTACCCACCATTTTCCTTCGAAAGGGACTTTCAGGTTCCATGTCTTCCATGTTTCGAAGTCCTTAGACGTCGGTTCTGCCGCCGTTTTCCTCGCTTCGATGCCCAAGGAAGGTGCACGGCAAGTGCGGCTCCGTGCGCGCGCGCCTCATCCCGGCGCCCCGGGGCTCCGGGATCGCCGCTCGCCGAAGAACCGGCCGGGGGAACGAGGCGGTTCGTTTTGGGGTGCCGAGTTTTTTTTTGTGGGAAACACTGTTGTAGATGGTTGCAAAGGGGGAAAAAAACAGTTAATTATTTTTGGGGTCCCCAGAAGACATACCCAAATATCCAGCGGCTTGTAGAGGCTATCCTTTTCAGGGTCAAAAGGGGCCCCCCAAGTGTGGAAAAATGTTGGAGGGATCCAACTGGGCACGCAAGTGGCAATATCCGTGGCCAGCGTCATTTCCTCACCAATTTCCCAGGTCATAGGGGACAGAATGGGTGTTTCCCGTTTCTCAAATGAGCTTTGTTGTCAAAATAGTGTTGACCCCTGGATTAATAAGCCTTGCGGATTTATATGGGGGTCGGGGTGTTCCCCCAAAAATGAAGAATTCCCTCCTAAGTGGAACACCCACCTACTGATCAACCAGGTATTTCATCGGTTCCCTGTATCCCGCAAGCTGGTGCCAACCCACTTTGGGGCTGCATTCCACTGGAGCTATGGGATGGTCATGCGGGGTTCGTTTTCAAAGCCTGATTTGTTGTCTATTTGGGAGAGGCATCGGGGACTCGCTAAATTTCAACAACAAAGACCAGGACAAGCAAACTCACCAAGTTTCCCAGGTCCTTTGAGGCACTTTTTGGGGCTTTGCCCTTTCTTGGGGTTTCTGGATGGTTTGAAAGGGAAATCAAATGCAGAAGGGATGAAGCTGGTTGAACTGCCGAGGTCAAAGCAATAGAACCACCATCCGAAGGTTGTAATGGCTCACCTAGCGGTAAACGCAACTTACCCATGATGAAGGCCACTTAGATCGAAATTCCTTGATATCAGTTGCCGAATATTTTCACTCTGTCATTACTGTTTGTGTCCTTGAAACAGCCAAAAAGAGAGACATGTTCATATTCCGTTTCACAAACCCTGGCATTGGTGATTACAAGAATGGGCCGGGGTGTACCATGTCGTTTCCTGGAAGCTGGATGAAGCTGGCTGAAACAAGGAATAGACAGCGCAAAAATAACCCTCTTCATGGGTGCGGTCATACACCTCCGATAGGTGAGCCTACCGGTAGCATGGTCGGACCCCGAAAATTCTCCGTCTTTTCTGGGGACAGATCATGTCTGCCGTGGCTTGCACGAGCTTGATTGGGGCCCTTTCGTGGATATCGTTTACGTTGGACATCATGTAAGTGGGGTCCATGCCCAATATTGTGAGGGGTCCCCATTGACTGCAGAGCCATACGAAGTACAATCAAATCCTGGTAGACAACGGCTTGAATCGGGGGGAGTCCTACTGTACACAAGTGCAACCATCCACCCTTTTGATTCTTTCGGCTCCATTATTATCAGGTTTTGATTGCGACTCACCTGGCCTCATGGGGCTTACCTGGTGCGGGTCTACATGGGTGTGTCTTTTTCAGAGTTGGAGCCCTTGCCGGGCTTGTCCAAAAAAGAGGCAAGGGAAGCTGAGTCTTTTTTTTTCTTTCTCGGAAAAAAAAACAACAAACACATGTGGGTGTTGCTTTTGGGTTTTTCCCTGAGCGTCACAGGCCAAAACACCAGCAAGCAAGGAAGTAAACGCGCCAACACACTCACAAAACACAAACGCCACAACAGGCAATGCAACAAGCAACACCCAATAGGCAGCACACAACACACATCACAACATGACAGAACACAACACACAGCGCACAAAGCAAAACAAAACACACACAAACACAAGAGGCACCCGCAAGCACACAAACACATCATTGTCCCTTTTCCACCTATGTTTGAACACCCGCAGATTCTGTCCCAACAAATCCTTGGACCACGTGAGGTGGGCTCGCCGGTGATGAAGAAGATGATGCTTTGCTTTTGGTGCCGATTTTGTTTGTTTGTGGCCAAACATCATTGTTTGTAGAGGCAACTTATTTTGGGGATTGGACCCCATTTGGGTTTCCCGTTTATTTGCAGGGGAGTAAGTTTTTGATCCTGCATTATGCATTTTTTTCAGGGTCCTTTGTGCCAGGACCGTCACATTTCTTTGCGTGTTGGCGCTTTTAATGTGTAGTGGGGGGTTTGTTTTGCGCTCAGTCACAGAACCCATGTTTTCCTTTTTGCAGGGTTTTAAGCATCATTTTTTGAACTGGTCAGTTTCCAGGAATGGGGTCATGAGACAAAACACCTGACAAGAGCAAGACGAATCCCTGAGGCAGCGGTTCTTATATTTTCTTTTTGGTGATCCAAGTGGGGCATCCGGGGGAGTGGGGCTGCGAAGAACAGTCGCCATGTACAAAGAGAGACTTTTCAAGAACAGTCAGTTTCTTCTGCATGAGGGAAGGTTTTTGGTATCGCAGAAATCAAACAACCCCTGATTCCCTTCAGTTTGAGGGGTTGTGTTACTTCCGCAATACCCGGAACCTCCCCTTATTAACAGAATTCGTCATGTGGAGGGCCTTCATTTCAGCGGTGCAGCGGGCAATCCCAAGGAAAAGGATGCAGGATGCTTGGGGGGAGGCATAGGTGCTCTAAACTCGCTGGAAAGGAACCAGATCTTATTTGAGGCAGACTTTGTTTCGTTATTTTTGTGACCCCGGAAATGAAGCCGGCTTTCTGTTTTTGTTTTTTTTGCATACATCAGTTCTTGGTTAAAGAATCACCACGCGGCTAAGAATGTCTTTCTCGTAACATCAGCAGGTGTCGGGAAGGTTCTTTCCGCGGAAGGGGGTTGGGGACGTGCTCAATGGGGGGCTTTGGCTTTTCCAAGAACAGGCGGTTTTCCGCTTTCTCATTCATCGAGAGAAACATCAGGGGGCAGTAGCTGTCCCATGTCCAGAAAAAGCAGATGGAGTGTTTTGGCGCTGTTTTCTCGCAGTTTGAAGTGAGAACATCATCATGACCCGCTTTGGTATGACAAAAACAGGTTATGTCCCACCCTGTGGCATTTTTCAGTGGCTTTTCCAGGTGTCTTGTGTGTTTTTTTTGTTACATGTTCCCTGGGGGTTCTGAAAGACGGGCTCAGGTCGCCAGGACAATGTGTTGCCATAAGCCAAGTTGTCGCCCGCAGGCCTCAGGCGGTACCCCGTTCCGGAACCAAATCCCAAGCTCCAGAGATCAAAGTTGGCTTCCCTCAGCCCAACTGAGTCCCCCTGCAGGAGTTGCCGGACATGGATTCCCAAAAGGTCCAAGTGTGAGAACCAGGGGACCTCCAGGAGCCACCAAGTTTCACAGAATCCCAGTATTAACATGATGTACCGGGGTTTGGTACGAATTTGGCGGGACGCCCCCAAAAGGATCCTGTCATGCACTTGTAAAACAGACCGGCTTGCTTCCTTTTCGTTTCCCTTTTTCCCACGGCTCACCTAAAAAAAGGAAGCGCCTCGGGGCCTCGCGGAGCGTAAGGATGCATAGGCGTTTTTTTTGTGGGCCGTCTACTTGCCCTAAAAGGACCCCTATGCTTCTTTGGTGCTTTTTTGCTGTTGGTTTAGTAATTTAGAGACCTTTGAATTCCTGTACATGGATGGTGGACCTAAGGATGGCCTTCGCCGGGATCGCGGACTGCTTCACCTGCTCCTGCGGGCACACGCGCACCACCGCCAACTTCGCCAAGGCCACCTTCGAGGCGCTCAAGGCCACCTACGGCGTCTCGGCGAGGAAAGCTAAGAGGCGGAGAGGTGAAGGCCATGGCGTGTTTCTTTGCTTCTTCGTTCGTTTGCTTTTGTTTCTTCGTTTGTTTCTTTGTTTGTTTGCTTTTGTTTCTTCGTTTGTTTCTTTGTTTGTTTGCTTTTGTTTCTTCGTTTGTTTGCTTTTGTTTGTTTGTTTGCTTTTGTTTCTTCGTTTGTTTGCTTTTGTTTCTTCGTTTGTTTTGCTTTTGTTTCTTTGTTTGTTTGCTTGCTTGCTTGCTTGTTTGGTTGTTCGTTCGTTCGTTCGTTCGTTCGTTCGTTCGTTCGTTCGTTCGTTCGTTCGTTCGTCTTTTTTTCTGTTTGTCTGGCTTGTCTGTCTATCTGTCTGGTTGGTTGGTTAGTTGGCCATGGGCCATGGGCAAAGGATATGGGCCGAACATGTCTTCAGCTTCTTTTTTTTTTCTTTTTTTGGGGGGGGGAGAGGTTCTGTTTATGTCAAGACTTTCGTCTGTATGGGTCTACTGAGGGTCACTTTTGTTGCATTCCCCTTGACTTGGCCCTTCCTGTCGCATCTACTTAATTCACACTTACGGACACTGCATTTCCTGAGGCTGCACGATTTGCGCGTTCGGAAAAGCATTTTACTTACTACGGTGTCGACCGTCTCTTGCGAAAAAGCATTGGACCAGAGCAACGGACGTGTCGATCACTGTAATCAAGAAGGACAGTCAATAGCAGAGCGAGCGAGCCATGTTGTGCTTGAGAAGTGGAATTTCGCAACTCGTATTGTACATAATTTTGATGCGGTCACACGACTTTGACAACTCGAGTTTACAAGCTCGATTTGCTTTGTTAAAAGAGACATATTTGACACGTGACCTCTGGACCAACTGTCAAACAAACCCAACGAACCTTAACTCCAAACCCAAAACAGAAGTCGAACCTTTTACCAACCCTGGAAAGGCCCAAAAAGGATTCAGAACCCAAACTAAGCCCACACCAACATTAAACCAAGTCTACACCCTCTATTCCAAACCAACCCTTAGGCCATCCTTCGCCAAGTGTCAAAGTAACCTCCTAAGCCCTAGCATCCCAAAGCCAGACCTTGCCACCTGGGTCGTTCTTTGCCTCATAGCCATTGTTGTGTGAAAGGCGGTGTGACTATATATATATATATATGGTACAGCGTTGCCAGCCCCCCCCCCTCCCCCCCCAATGGTCATGGGTCAGACAAGTACCCCCCCCCCCCTGTGGTTGTGGTCCTGTGGTTGGGTTGTAGTGGTTTAGGGTTGGTTTAGAATTGGTTTAGGGTATATTTAGGGTGTATTTAGGGTTAGTTTAGGGTTGGTTCAGGGTTGATTAGGTTGATTTATGTTGATTTAGGGTTGGTTTAGGGTTGGTTTAGGGTTGGTTTGGGGTTGGTTTAGGGTTGGTTTAGGTTTAGAGGTGTACGGTTTAGGGTTTGGTTTAGGGTTTGGTTTAGGGTGTATTTAGGGTTGGTTTAAGGTTGGTTTAGGTTTAGGGTTTATTGTTTAGGGATTGGTTTAGGGTGTATTTGGGGTTAGTTTAGGGTTGGTTTAGGGTTGGTTTATGGTTGGTTGCGGGTTGGCTTGTCCTGGGGGTGGGGGTGCCGGGGTGTCGGGGTGCGAGTTCAGGGGGTCGGGGTGGGGTGGGACCGTAGGTGCCAGGATCCGGGGGCTCGGGGTCTCGGGGGGGGGGGCCCCCCCCCCCGCGAACCTACCTTTTTGAAGAATTCTTTGGTATTTGCAGTGGTCTCTACCCTTTTTCGGGCTTTGGGGAGAGGAATGAAAAAGAAGCATTTCCAAGGACATTCTGGAAGCTTCAGGCTTGATTTAAACCGATTTGAACCGATTTAAACCAAAATCAGGCATGGATTCAAGATTCAAGATTCCCTGGAAAAGTTTTTCCTGGATTCTTCCCGATTTAAGTTTACATCGAGGCCTGGATTCAAGATTCCCTGGAAAAGTCTGGCCTGGATTCTTGAATCTTGAATCTTGAATCCATGCCCGATTTAAGTTTAAATCGGTTTAAATCGGTTTAAATCGGTTTTAAATCGAGACCCAAATTCAACATTGCACTTTGCGCGGCTGTGCCTTGGCACAGTGTTGTGCAAGCATCCAAGTCCTGATTGTTCATTCAATCTGTTTCAATCTAGGCCACATTCAAGATTGTAGGCCAAACTTTGCTAGGGGATCTTGAACCCAGGCTCAACTGAAATTTCAGTCGGTTTCAATGGGTTTCACTCGGGCCTGGACTCGCGTTTGCAAAGAAGACTTGTCTAGAGAATATTTGATTCTTGAATGTTGAATACAGGCTTGGGTTCTTTCCTTATCAAATCCTGTAAAGCTCTAATTGAATTGTAAGTATATATTGGGAAAGGAATTCTTTAAACTCGAAATTTCAGATTTGATTGCCACTAGGATTCTGACCAAATATTTCTTTATTGAGTCCCAATTAAATTGTGTTCAAATTCAAATGATCATTTAGCGAGCGTTCATTGGTGGAGATGTGAATTGAGTATGAAAAACGCTACACAACACTGTGTTTTACATTTTTTTCTTTTTCTGACCATGGTAGTGTTGGGACTAGCGGAAAGCTTTGGATTGTTTCCTTATGAATTCCACTTCATATGTTTTATCAAATTCGACCCAATTTCTGATTGAAATTCAATAGAGCTTAAGAAGGACATACTCCAGCAAGAATTTCGATTTAGATTGGAACTTAAACATATTGATTGTTCTATGTCAAATTCAATGGTACAAACGATTTCCTGTCCAATAGAACATTGTACTCGAAATTCAATCACTTTCAGAACTAGAGGTAGGTGGTCTAGTCCTAGTTTGGTCCTAGTCCTAGTTGGGAGATCCTTGGTTCTAGGCCTAGTATGGTCCTGGCTTACTGAAATAAATAGAACGTATAAAGGGCATTACAAAGAAAGTTACTTATGATTTGTAGTTAATATATTAATCAAGTTCTATGCAACTGCCAACTGAACAGTAGAATTTAAAATAAGGACAATATCCAGTCATAATTTACATGTTAAGTTGGAATATAGGATATTGGCTATTCTGTTTGAAACCAAATATTCAACAGGACTGTCTTTCCACCAGAATGCAGTACTTGACATTCAAATACTATAAGAAGTGGAGTTAAGTAGTCTAGGCCTAGTTATGTCCTGGATGAGAGAATCTTGGTTCTAGTGTTAGGTTGCTCCCTAGTTTGCTGCAATAATTAGAAAGAAAACAGGACATAATAGAGGAAGTAAAACTTGAAATTTAATTTTTGTAAGCATCCCACACAAGTCGCCTAGTCCTAGTTTGGTCCTAGTCGCAGGTGAGATCCTGGGTTCTAGTCTCATTTGGTCCTGGTTATAGTTGAGAGATCGTTCCTCCCAGTCCTAGATGGGCAACTCATGCACTGGTAGGTCCCTGGGGGGGGAGGTAGCATATATACATATATACGTACACATACATACATACGCACAACAATACAGTGTTTTTGGCATTATTTTCATGCACAAGTGGACAGGTAGCTCACGGGGTGGGGGACTATATTTTTATATATACGTTTTCAAATACGCGTTTTTATATATTTTTAGACATGTGTGTGCGTGTGGGCACTGTGATAGCTGGCGTGCATTGTTTTTTTTGCTGACCTGAGGCTATCTGACCCCAGACCTGTGGCGGCCCACGCAGCACGTGAAGCCCCCCTTCCAGGCGGGGCGCTTGGCCGGTTACCCCTCAGCCAGGGCCTGGATGTCCCTTTTTTTGGGACGCTCTTTTTTTCAGCGTCACCGGTGAAACTCAATTCAAAGTGTTTTTTGTGTTTTGGTTGGGTGATGTTGAAAGGGGAAATGCAGGGAACCCTGTTGCAGCTAGGTTCCCCTTCCCCTGCATGTCTGTGTCTGCCTTTTAAGCTTCTTTCTACTCTATATTTTTCAGCCATACCAGAATGCACCTTTGTAAACCAACTCATTTGACAGATGGTTTGCTTCCCTTAAATGTGTAGGAATCCTCTTGGAGGTATGCTTCGTTTTAGTCATCTTAGACATCATTGGATACCTAGTTGGCCCCACGTCTAAGATTCGTCCGGCGCCGAATGGATGGTGCCCTGAGGAGTGGTCGGACTACCTCGCGCAGAGCAAACAGGTCGCTGCCTACTGAGAGCTCGGAGCATGGGTGAGCACTCGAGCGGCGCGATTTTGGGCCCCCCTATATTGACACGTGTCCAAATACGGTTGTTTCATACCATTGGGCAGGGGTTTCTTTTTCATGGCAATCTCTTTGAGGCTCATGCCCTCTCGCGCGCTCGCAGATTGCTGATTGCTCCTTGGGCCTAGGAGGAGTCGCCTTTGGGTTTGGACCATTCGTGAAAAACGGGCGATGCCGAATCTTGTCCGCGGAGTGTGCTGAGTGCGGCCGGGGGTCAGTGCTTTGGAGGTGAAACCGAACCGGCCATTTTCAGGACATGGGTTTCGCATTTTTGAACACGTCCTCTGATTCGCTCCTCTTATTTCTCGGGGGTCTCCATAGATTCAGGGCATGTTTGAGCCAGCCGCAAGCAGGACGTTGCTGCTTCAGAACCTCACGCAAGCGTGATTTTTTTGGGTACTTTTTGACCAAATTGTTGCCTCAGGATTATAGGAGTAAATAAACTACGAGTAACATGCTTTGGCCCTGGCGAATTGTCCAGGGGCCTCTTTTCGGGTTTTATGTTCGTGGCCCCCAAAATAAGATCTTAAGAAAACCAAACGGCCTTATTTGGAGGACACCAGGAGAGGGGCGGATGGAGGAGGGGGGGGGGGGGGGATGGGATGAAAAGGGAGAAGCAAACACTTGCATGGGGTTGATTTTCGGGTTGTTGCCCCTTGGGAGCGAAAAGGCAATTTATGTTTTTGGAAATGGTCTTTGGAGCCGCCAATTGGTTTGTTTGTGCTTACTTCTTGAGGGGCTGCAGGGATTCAGAGCAGGTTGAGCCAGTAAGCAGGGTGTAGCTGTGGAGTTCCAATCTCTCTCAGAATTGCCCTTCAAATGGTGGCTTAAAGGCATTCCACCTTCAAAAGAAAGCACCTTACCCTTTTGGCAAGGCTTCAGCGTTCCAAAAAATACTACTTCGGTTCCTCGGCCTTAAACATCTGGCTGTTCGCCAGTCCAACTGAGTCCCCAGTACAACACCTCGACTTTCTGTTTTCCTGTAAGGTTTAACGGTTTCCTTTTAAACGTTTTTTGGTAGGCAGGTGAGATCAATGGAAGCGGCCACAAGTTCGAATGGAATCAAACAAATTCGCCCGTTGGGGTTTGGAATTTTTGAAGGACCTCAATTTGGGAATGATCCTACAGCCTAAACCCCAACCACCCAAAAAAGAAGACAATAGCTCGCATGGTTTGTTCCAGGTTCGTTCTTACCCACAAAATGAACCACGCTTTTTCTTTGTCTTTTGGCTTCCCTCAAGGCCTTTGGGCCTAAGGAATTCAACCCCAGGTTGTAGAGTGTAAATGCAACGCCAGCCCCCCGAAAATACGCCCAGCCAGGATTTCTCCAAATAAGGGAGGGATCTGTCAGCTGGAAGCCGACTTCGGCGCGGCCCCGGGATCGGCTTGCTTCGGTGCACAGGCGGCCAGGGCCCGCAGCAGGACATGGAGCCCGGCCTGGCCTTCCGGGACGTGGCCCGCCCCTTCGATGCGGTCAGTTGGGTGGGAAGGAGTCGGCCTGGATGGCTCGGAGTTGGTGGATTCGCCTAGAAAGTTGTTCCGGGCTTCCTGACCCCCTCCCCAAAAAACAGAGGTGATTTTCCGGTCCCAGAACAAAACACCAACACACACACACACACCAAGCTTCTTTGCGGTGCGTTTCTCAACAGGATCCGACTCCGCAGGGAGAGTGGAATGGGTTTCATTTGAGGTTGGGCAGCCGAGTCCAGGCATTTGTCCTTTTGGGGGAAAAAAGTAATCCTCAGGGTTGATGTCTTCCTGTCACAAAATGGAAGGCTGGGTTTACTTGGCTATAACTCCCGAGCTCTGGGTTCCAGCACTTTTGGGCTTGGGAAATGAGCGAGCCTTTTCAGCGTTGGTTAGAGAGGAAGCTACAGGGAAGCCACCCATTTTTTTTTTCCCCACGTTTGGAGACAAGCGCAAACATACCCCCGCTTCTTTTGGGCCTGCTTGCCCCCAGAGATACAGCAGAGGTAGGGATGGCGACCCATGCGTTCCTTCTTGCATTCTGCCGGGATTTTGCTTTTCTGGTTGGTCTCTTCCATGGCGCAGACCGCGATGAGCCACAAGGAACACCCGAATTCCTAGCCACAGGTGCAAGAAGCTCATGGGCTTTGGGCAGATTCGTGGAATTTTAGCTCTTGCATCTTCTAGGCCCCCAGCCTGTTTATATATTTCTCCAATTCCCAACCTGCTTTTGTTCTGCCATCCCCAACCTACATTGACCCCTGAGCTTGGTTTTTCCCTTTGGTTTCCATCAGGTTTTGAGCTTACGAGCTTGGGACGTGAAGCACCCATCTTCAGCCACGATCCAAGAAGGGAATCGGGAATTTCTCACGGAACGGAATTTCAACACGAACCGCGGGGAGCTCACGGAGCTTTCCATGTCCTTGGGAAAACATGGCGTAGCTTTGACGAGAAGCGGAGGGGCCTTCCCTTTCCCTCTTAACTTGGCAGTTCCCAGCGATACCCTTACGCTTTTTAAATTTTTAGACTTGCTTCTAACATATCCTGCACCAAGTTGTTCACTTTTAGCAAGGGATCAACAAACTGCTCAGTCTTTAGTAGCAAGCTGCTTTCACTTGGTTTCGTCGCATCGATCGATCGAATTCGCGCTCTTAGGAGTGGACGGCCAGAAGGTGAACCTGATCATCACCGTGGTAGGAAACGCCTGGGCCTCAAGGACGAGATATGTTGTTTGCCCAATCAAACTTTTGGTTTCAAATGGACAGCAAGAGGAAGGATCCACCTCGGTTTTTGATCTCCCATGAGAAAGAATCCGGCATGTGCGGGGTTGCAGGTTGGAGCTCTCAACGTTTATTTCGTCTCGGGGAGGGAGGGGGTGATATTCATGAGGCTGCCTGCAAGGTTCTTCTCCGGGCTGGTTGCGCCCATTTTGTGTGGGAATTCCCGGCTTTCAAGCGAGTCACGGGATGGGCTGAAGGGCCCAACTGTGCATTTGAGCAGCGCCCTATTCCAATTTGGTGAAGGGTTCCACTTCCTCGAGAGTCATGTTGTATACAGCTTTGTCATGTTGGTACCAAACAGGTTTCGGGCGTTGGGACTTACCTCATGGGATGGAGAAACCTTCGCCTTTTTGGTTCGTGGGAAAGGTTGACCCGAACATTTGAAGCCGTACCCCTTTATTTGGAGGACACTTTGGTTTCCTTTGACACCCGTGTACCACTTCTGATGGAGACGGTCTGGGGCGATGCGGGGTACACCCATTGCTACAACGCTCGAATTTTCGTGCCGTCCAATTCGCCCCACCACAAGATCTGGGCTTTCCTTCCCAGAAGTGGGGTTGCACTTCCCAATGATTCGAAGGGCGCCGCTTTCCCTCTGCGGGTGCCAGATTCTTCACTGGGGCTGAAGGCAAACAGCGAGGGAGTCCTGAATGAATTCTTTGTGAATTTGAACCCCCTTTGTTGTTGCATTACTGTCTTGTCGGGCTAGCAACCTTTTTGTCTGGCTGCTTGGTACTCAAAGGGGCTGTCGGTTCGCAAATCCCAACAGGCTCCCCCTGGTGCCAGCTGCACCAAAATGAATTGTCCGGGCTATTTACCGGCTTCAACTCTTCCCAAAAACACGCTCAAGCCCCCTTGCCCCTTATTGTAAGCCTTATTCCTGTAGTACTCGGCCCGCATCTGCTCCATCGTCCAACCTCGGCCACGATGGTCGTGTTGGAACTGATTGCATTTAGTTTTGCATTTCTTCACCGATGCAGCACCTGCGGATTCGTGCTCTCGCTCAAGCCCCGTATCCTCCTTCAGCACCCACGTCCTTCCCCACTCGTGGAGCTCCGCAAAGCGCGCTCTACCATGATGAAGTTCCGCGTTTCCTCCACCTGCAACCTTCTCACCCTTTTCGCACACCTCAATACCACACAAAAGCCGTCTGCTTTGCGAGCCACACTGCGCCTATCACCATGAGGATGATGCGCGTCCACCTCATCCAACGGCATGGTCTCCCTCAAAGCAGTTGCCTTACCAACCAAATCTGCTCCAATCACCGCCAACAGCTTCACATTCATCTCCATGCTGTTGCCACCACCGACTTCCTGCTCCTTCCTCACCATTTTCTTCCCCACCGACATGCACAGCTTTTGTTTTCTGAAGCGCTCAAAGGCCTGGCCATTCAACGCCTTGGTCATGCCATCCGCAACCAACTGCTATCCCGGACAAGTGGGTGAGTGTCCAGCCCCCATCTTCTAATGCCCAGCGAAGCGAGGCGGCACGAATCCTCAGATGCCTCGTTCTCCAGCTCCCCGAACCATTGGATGCCAGAGCAATCGCAGCCACGTTGACCCCGTAGATCCTCTTCTGGGTGAGCTGCTCACCCGTTTGCTCTCCCCGCCACCAAAGATTCGCAATAACCTATCAACTCCGCCTCCGCCGCTGACTGTGCCACGAAAGGCTGCTTGGTCGCCTCCCAGGCGATCGGCGAGCCCGCGAAGTACACCAAAATGCCCTGCACACTCTTATGGTCACCAGCTGTCCCGTGGCTGATGTCCGAGAAGACCTCCAGCAACTTGTCATGCCGCTTGACGCTCAGGTGATCTCTGGCCCCCCACCCCAAGACCTTCGTGTAGTGGAGGCCCTCGCTGCTCGTAGCGTTCGCATACTTCAGCAGCGTCATCCCAATCTCCACCACTTGCTTCGGCATCTTCATGCTCCTCGCCATAGTTGCTACGCCAGCCATCAAGTCCGGCCTCGTTGTCGTAGCCAGCCACAGCAGGCCACCCGTACTGGCCTGAGCTTCTCGTAACTTGCCTGTCTCCGGCTCCTCTTCTTCCTCTGGCGTTTTGACGATCGGCACATCGACCTTGTGCTGCACTGCCCACTTCTCCGCCAGCTCCTTCGCGTAGGCCGTCTGCTTCAAGTCAAAGCCATCCGCAGCTTCCCACACCTCAAAACCGCAGTACCTCAACAGCTCTTCTTCCGATGGCCATT